TTTTGCTTGAAAGAAAAAAAAACAAAAACCTGGTGCTGCCAAGTCCGCAGCCGTTTTCGACCTCTCGATCACCTTGGGCAGTGTCCTCTGCCACACCCCCCACATATAAGGCTTGTGACTGTCATCCACCTACTCACACAATCTGCTTGTGTGAGGACCTCGCTCCACTCCTCACTCCACTACTCACTCCACTGCTCACTCCAATACTCGCTGCATGCACAAAAGACGAGAAAATGCAGCGGTGTACCTTCATAATATTATGCTCTTGCGGAAGATTCATTCTCATTTTGCACATTTGGTGAGCCTCGGAGCGAGGCCCCGAGTCCCCAGACAACGTGTATGGACGAAATTGCGTAACTGTCCCCCCCACACGACACCCACACACTCTTGAAAATCTTGCACGCTCTCCAAACTCGCACAGACGTGCGGCCATGCTCAGCCAAGGCCGCAAGTGTGTGGTGTGTGAATTCGAACAGCGTGCAAATTTTTTAAGGGAGCGTATGGGTGTGCTACACGACAGTTGGCCTACGTGGACAAGAAGGTCGGACGGCGGCCACAAGCAACCATCCCAACTTGCAAACCTCTCACACAGACAGAAAGACGCAGATGGCATTTACACCACCAGGGTGTTAGTTACCCAGCCATTTTGCAAGAATGCCCCTCCCACGTCGGGCGCAACGAACCGGGCGGCCTCCAGACAAACAAAACATCCACGCAAAACCGGCCGTGCACGAGACGCGATTTGCCTGCCTGTGATGTGGAAAGCATTTTTTCGAGTTTATTGTGATTTGACAGACCAGTGCCTTAAGCAAATACGAGTGGCTTCCATGAAGCTGCAACTTTTTTTCAGCAAGTGCCGGGGCGCAGTTTCACTTGTTCATATCGATCGAGACAAAATGGTGCAAGGGATCTTGCACGCTAAAAAGGAAAAAAAAAAAAAAAAAAAAGAAGGTGCGAGGCCCATTTCACCAGGAGGATGGACAGGGGTTATCGAGTGAAACGGTGCGCGGGTACTTACCGAGAGTCGCGGCTGCATGCACGCTGCAACTCTGAAAAAAACAAAATGGGAAACGAATAGGGGGTGGGTTAAAACACCAGAACTCTTACTAAAGTTGTGCCCGTTAACAAGCCACGGTTTTAGGAAACGCACGGGCCACTATAAAAGCGCCCAAATTCATCTGACAAGCTTGGTGGGGCCAAGTACTAGAGTCGTGCCCGTTAACGCGCCACGATTTTAGGAAACGTATGCGTCACTACAGGAGTGCCCAAATTCATCCCACTAGAAACGCTGCTTCTTCTTTTTTTTTTCTGCGGCCAAGTATTGGTGGTTTAAGGTGACGTAACTTTTCTGAATGAAACAAACGCAAAGCGAAATGGGCGTGTGAGGGATGCAATACCCACTTCCCAGCATTTGAAATGCAAAAAATGGGAAAAACAAAAAAAGAAAACAGAAGGTCGCACAACCAACTGCACATTACCAGGGCCCAAGTCCCACTAGCAGCAGCACGTTGAGCTACCTCAACGCCTGAATGTGGTCGTTTTTGCGGGGGTGTACAGAAATAGTGTTGAGTTTCCTGAACTGCACGTCTCCACAAACATGTCCAGATTCACACGTTGAGGTAGCTCAATGCTGCTGGTGGGACTTGGCCCCAGGACCGAGGTCCCCACTACCAAAAGAGGGGTGGATTTAACACCTGAATCTCCTCATTGTGTTTGCCGGAGAGGTGCAGCAAAGCACAATTGATCTCCTTTTTCTGTATCTCTCCACAAACACGTCCAGATTCAGGCATCAAGTCCGGTCCTCTTTGGTAGTGGAACCTCACCCCAGATGCAAAATCTATCCACACATCGTTTCAAGTTTTGGAGGGTGCTCTGCCACGGCTTAAATAAATAAAAAAATAAAAATAAAAATAAATTGTCAAAGCGAAGGCCCTTTGCCACCCATCACTCGAAAACGCCCCAACTAAAACCACCAGTACTTGGCCCAGCTATTGGCCACAGAGAAGAATAGAGTAGAGCGGTTTCTAGTCGGAGGAATTTGGGCGCTCCTGTAGTGGCCGCCGGCCGGGTAGGTTTCCTAAATCGTGGCTCATTAACGGGCACGACTTCACCCTTTTTTATTCCCTTTTTCTTTCACGACTTCATGGCGTGTAGTCGTTTTCTTTTTCTTTCACGACTTCATGGCGTGCAGTCGTTGAGGGGTATCTCGAAGAAACTTCCCTGCTGATAATCCGAATTCATTCGAGGATACATGGCGTAACCTACTGGTGCCTTAATACAATTTACCAAAATGAGGAAGATTATAAAATAAAGTTTAATTTACTTTAATAAACAAATCAAAAACAATTTAAGTGGCGATCGAGCAAGGCCAAAGCGAGCACAGCCTTTTTTTTTTTTTTTTTTTTTTCCGAGCACAGCCTATTGTCACAAATCACACCAAAAGTTCCGAAACGCCAAAAAAAAAAAAAAAAAAAGAAAAAAAAAGCTGCAAATACGTTTACATTTTAAAATTTAACTTGATTGATTTAAATTCATTTAATTCAATTTATTGAAACAAGAGAGAGCGGCCACAATCTTTTGAAATGGATGCTGCCACAATCGGCAAATCAAAAAAGTTCAACCCCAAGTTGCAAGGTATTGGGCTCCAGTGCCAGCCCACAGCACTCTAAATGTTTCTCGACCTGCTACTGATCCTTATTCAGCCCCAACGCTAGATAGATAAAGTCCACCTGTATCTGGTCCACATTTCACGCAAAATACATGAAGAATGTTGTGTAGTGCAGCAAGACCCTTTGTTGTTCATTTCCTTCCATCGGCGTTTCATAAGAAATCATTAAAAAAAGGAGCAACTTTGGCGCAGTCACAAAAACAGTTCGAAAATGAACTTCAGGCAATCCCGCAAACACAACAGACCAGCAGTGAGTATATATCGTCACAAATAGAACTGCCCGGTAAACCATAGGCAGAGAGAGAGAAGAGGACAACAAACGAGGGGCTGTGTATATATATATATATCGTCACAAACAGAACTGTATATATATATATATATGCATATCCATATACGGAGAGAAAGGAGACAAACACACACACACACACACACACACACACACACACACA